TATTTTCTCTTACTAGACACAATATATGTAGTCTCTACGAAATACTTGAGATGTAAAATCATTGTCTTCAATATAATTTAGACATTTTTAAATGTTCTTTTGAAAGAAGATAAGTTTAATGATATCCCATACTTTATAATAAACATTTTGTATGTAATTTGTTTATTTTACTAGTCTCTTATGTTTCTTTTAACTCTATCTACACATAAAACAGTATAATCGTATTGAAAAGGCTTTGTTTTTAAAATTTAATACATCTAATTGACTACACCTTGGTCGTTTGTTTATTAAGTAACCATATTCACCAGCAAATTGTTATAAAACAGAAGAAAAGTTATTACAAAGGTAAGGATGTTATACTCGTGCTGATATAAACTTGCTAAAGGAATGACGATAAACGTAATCTGACATGAATTTCAAATTATATCTATCATGTTTACTGAGGGAATTGAAAGAGTGTGTCTGTAATGAAATGAGATTAGTTCCAACAAGGCTTGGATTACGCTTTATTGCAGCCAACCCCTTGAGACAGTCTTGGTAGAGATAAAGGTATTTTCTTATATTCATAGTTTTTGTTCAGTTTTCTTCTTCAGATCTGTACAACAATCTACTAGTTTTTATACACATGCGAATAAAATTAGTAATTGAGTTATTCTATAACATAATTAATTTATCAACTGTCCTTTAGTATTTTAGTGAAGAATATATATCTTTTCCAAAATGAATAAAAGTACAAATACTTATGTGGGAAAAGGATGCTTTGTACTTTGCTGTGCCTGAGGTACCTAAACAAATTTTAGTAAGAGAATATTCTCATATTACAATAATGAGTGATTTACTAAACATATCTTAGTTTACCTACATTTGTCTACTAAAAGATTATTTATTTATCGTTCGACACTGTTAACTACATTAATGAATTCATGATACATCTAAATAATAGTTTAATTTTTTTTTTCTCATATGGTATGTATGGTATGTAATACATATATTAAATCCAATGATTGAACTAAAAAATGCTTTATAGATCCATAAGGCATAGCCCTAAGGTAGGCCTATAATTGAAAGTTACTTTTCACAATGGTTAAAAGTTTTTAAAGTACTTCCTCAACCTCACCATCTAACACTTTATTCCGGTTGACATTTCATTATCACAGGTGCTCTTGTCCATTCCGTGAAACACTGAGAAATAAGGACATTTATGCGTTACCAACAGACATACACACAAATATACAGAACTTAATTAGGGAATTTGCCACGCTTTAAGCATAACAAAGTACATAAATATTAGTATTTGAAATCTTTGTTAATGTCATAAAATTTTATCATAACAATTTAAATTTGCTTGGACCGAATATGACCCGAAATTCTGTCGAAAAGGTATATGAATCGGTTTGCTATATGAAATGAAGTAGGTTCAGTAAATCTATAGACGATTTAGATTATAAAAATAGGCCACGAACTATTGATACATAAACAACGTTCAAAGCGTTTGAACAATTCATGATGGTTTGCTGAATGTTTTACTAAAATGCGTTATCGTTTTCTTAGCATAAACTAACATTTTGGAATCCAGACAGATAAAGCAAAACTTGTACAGTTAATACATCAATTAAATTGAATACGCCTGTAATAAATAAGGTGCAACACCAACGATAACTAATTTGTTAATACAGTGATGTGTTGGTACGTAAAAATGATTCTTGCTGCTACCAACGGTTCAAAGGAAAATAACCAGTACCGTACCAAAAACCAACGTTTACAGTTAAGAACTATAGTACATCCGACCAAGTATATGCGTTAATCAAGGTTATTGATCTCTTGGTTTTGGATTTTCTCGTAAAAAGTTATCGGAAATCAAAGTTATTTCCCATTAATTGCTTTATTTGTAAACAACTCTTAATGTAAACTTATCGGTGCCAGTTAAAAAAAAACAATCTCATACAACAACTTTCTGTTATTTAATAGATTACGTATTCACTAAACAATGATTGGTACATCGATTAAAATTAAAAGGGAATGTGACAAAAATCACACAACGTTGGGTTTTTGGAAGTTTGTAATTTTATTTCTTAAGTACCTAGGTAGGCCGTGTATTCTAGGGAAAAGTACCGGTATCAAGGATCGTCGTCGAAAAGGTTGTTATAAATAATTGTGTAAGCGTACGTACCCAAGAGATGGGCTATGGGCCTATTGGCTGTATGGTCCAGCGATTGCATCACACGGTGAGTAGGAACTATTGACTATATATAGTCAATGGTAAGAAAAGAACGTGACACATTGGAAAATAGAGTTTAGCATCATCCGTAAAACTCTAACAATCACCCACTGCAGATGTGATTTTTTACTTTACACTTTACAAAACCGCCATTGAAGCGCCGTCAATGAGTGGGGCCTTGTTTGTAAGCCATTGGCGACGATCATTAATAAATTGAAGTTTCCCAGCCTTATATTTACAACACTGAGTCAATGTCTTCTTTCTGGTTATCAAAACTCCAGAACAATTTTAAACACAAAGAATCTCTGGTTTCTGACCTGGATGATGCCTAGTTATTTAATTTAATTTACGGTTACTCTATATTATTCCACTTGCGATTAATTAAATCCTTTATGTAAGAAAAACGTTTTTAATCTCACTTGGATAGGATTTGCCTTCAAAACGTGATCGGAAATGGTTGCGGTATTTGTAAACAACATTTGTAAACATATCAAGTGACAGCTAGAAAAAATAATCTTGATCCGAACAGCTGTTCGTTATTTCATAGATGATTATGTGATAAAAATTGGACGAAAACTTGAAAAAAATCGCACAAATTTTTGAACATCCGTAATTTTATTTACAAAGTATTGAGGCCATATTTTAATGGCTAAAGACACTCCCGTCAATCCAGTGAATACATTAAAATCGCTTGGATCTTGATAGGAACTCTCGTTTCCTGGAGAAGATCGATTGCGTAAAATGCCATCTCGAGTGTTACAGACAGACAGACAGACAGAAATTTAGATGAGACTTGTTATGGCTTCTTTAATGTATAAAACATAAAAATAACTTTAAAAAATTTGATTCTGGGCAATGTACAGACAAAACTCTAATTTTATTTATATAGATTGTCAAGCCCTGGTAAGCCAAAGTTCAGTTTTATAGGATAGTTACGTAAAACTATCCACGCAGTAACCAACGTAAACCTGTCAATAAGTAATGATGATTTATTTGATTGAAGTTTCATAGTCATTACCAATCAATTAAATGACAGCTGTTGTGAAACTGGCGCATTTTAACACAGACACCGAGCTCTACACGTTCCATTTTATTTTGTGAAGTTATTTTTTTACTCTTTATCAACATGAAAGGCTATTCGATTGTAAGTATGTGTTTGCTGTATCTTAGAAAATGTACGGATATGTTAAATATATATAAATATATATATATATATATATATATATATATATGTGTGTGTGTGTGTTGTGTGTGTGTGTGTGTGTGTGTAAAATGATCCGATTTTTTTATTAAATTTGGTAGAAACGTGTAAACCTACGTTTATTCGAACGAGTTCGCGAACCAGCATGATCGGACTATGGGAAAGGGGGTTTATGGGGGTTTTATGGGGTAAAAATAGGGGTTTTCCCATTTTTGACGCTAAAAACATAAAATTTTTCAATTTCTTTCCAGACCATTTTGTAGAGCTAAGAAAAATTAATAATTTTGTATGTTGAAGCGTTGTTGTATGCCTAACGGTTACGGAGATAATTAAATTTAAAAAAACTCTAAATTTAAAAATTCCATGTTATTCTTAAGGAGAATAAACAAACTGTTGTAGTTTGCTTATTTATGGATATATTTTAATCAAATATGGCAATTTTGTTTATTTTATACAAAGCTATCAACATTTTAATAAAAACTCACCTCAATAACTTCCCTGTAGCAGCAAACCTAGGTACTCATTTAAATTAAATTTATTTTTATAGGAAACTAATATTATTAATGTGAAAGTTTGTGTGTTTGTTTGTTTTTTTGTTTGTTTGTGTGTTTGAAGTTCAATCACGCATAAACCACTGGATGGATTGGGCTGAAATTTGGCATGATGATAGCTTACATTCCCGATTAACATATAGGCATATTCTTATCTCAAAATCCTTTCGGGCTCCGCCCCATTGGCTTTGTAATTCCCCAGGTTAACCTTATGAGTATTTATATTTAAAGGGAATTAAAGAGTTTAGTCAGCTGTTTCAACCAAAAAAGTTGGTTCTATGATATGGAAAAGCATTAAAAAATTATAAGATTTACCAACAGAGTGCAGCACTATATTTTTTTGCATTTATGAAAACAGCTAATTTGAACTAAGCAGCAACAAAAAACTGTGATTCGCAATGAGAACTGTCAAAGTAGGATTGTTTACAGTTAGGCTATGTTTATGTTTTTCATTTCATGAATAATTTGTGATATTTTGCGAATTGTTGATAATTTATTTTTCTCTATTGTTTAGGTGATGTGGTAGAACATTATGGCTATGGTAGATGTGTAATACTATAGAATACTGTAAATTTAAAAAAGCAAATTTTATCAAACTGTGTCTTCCCTTATTGCATACGCAAAGCTTGAGTATAACTGCAATAAGCATTTTATACTTATATTCCAACCCCGTACGAAGGACGGGTACTCTGCTAGTAGAAAATAAAGCTGACAATTTTCAGGAAATATTTTAGTAGAAATCCAGCCAGGTAAATGGAAACTCGCTTAGTCTGAAGGTTTTCTGCGGCGAGGGTATTTTTAAATTCTATCCAAACGACAATAGCTCATGTAAGAGATGAAAAACAAAAACTGTAGCTTAACCTAGGACTGACGATTACGCTCCGGCGTAGAAACCTAGGTCTCCACAATAAATCAATTGGATCGTAAGGAAACCCCTTAGATTATAAAAATGTTTAATAACGATCCAGAGGCTATTTCTCCAAATTTAAATCTCACTGATTCTCTTGTGGACTCACTCTGCATGTTTCAGGTTCGATTAGCTCTGCTCGTATTCATGGTCCATTACTCTCTCGGGAAAGTTGCCAAACCTGCTCCAACTACAGACGGTGGGGATCGGGGATTCTACAAGCCATTAAAAAAGGCAGTTACCGATGCCAGGGTAGGAGAAAAGTTAGCCAAAATAATTAATCCACGTAAGGGCCAAACAACTGTTCACGGACTGCTTACTGCTGGAGCTACCTCTGGCGCATTGCTAGTCCATAGGATGAGTCTCAAGGAAACAGGTGGGAAATCGGTTTCTGAACTTAGGGAATCGATTGGGAAAGCAGATTCAGACATGAAGGACATTGCGAATGAAGAAAAGGACAAGGCAAATGAAGAAAAGGGCAATGCGAATGAAGAAAAGAACAAGGCGAATGAAGAAAAGGACAAGACGAAGGAAGAAAAGGACAAAAATCAAAACAAAAACATGTAGCGTAATATAGTAACGCTGTACTACTTTATGTATGCAATATTCTTCGATTAGATAAATATGTCATCATAACTTGTATGTTAAATTATCTTGTTTCAGCCCTAGCCATTTTGCTCGTTATGCAATTAGGTAGATAGCTAGTAACCAACTAGATTAATATTACCATTTAGACGCGGAGTAACACTCAAAAAATAGGAACCTCCGTGAAATGTTTCAATGACTAAACAAACAGTAGGCCTACTATCCTTTTCCTTGCAAATCTGTTCTTACATCTAAAAAATTCCAAAGAGCAAACGCTACTGATAAGAAATTTTCAATTTACAACTCATTTAATTACATCATAACGCAATAAGATACATCCTCTGTTCCTCTTTAGGTTGTTATTATAAACTGTAGGTCCCGTGGCAACTCCATTGGCTGTATGGGCTATTAATTAACAGCTGTGTCTAAGGAACATGTCGGCCTTGCTGCAACTAAAATTGTCAATAATTATATACACCAATAATAGTTTTCTTTTATCACGACCCTCAAAATGAGGGGTCACTCGATGGGGCTTAACTTTTCAAATTTTTGAGTTTCCCCTAAAATCCCCTATTTTGGATTTGCGAACCAAGTAGTAATTATGCTCAAAAAATACTTCATAACATGCCATAAAGGTGTACAGAGTTTAGCTTTTCTAGTGTTAGCCTTTAAAAATTTTTTAGGGGGTCTCCAGACTTGGAAAGCTGTAAGTTAAATTTCACTTCTGAGAATTTCAATTGACTGCCATTTTTTACTGGGTTGAGTTAGAGACCCCTACCCTATCTCTGCGTTGTCGGTTTTCTTTTATGAGGACCTTCAAAATGAGGGGTCACTCGGTGAGTCTTCCCGTTTGAAATGTTTAAGTTTCCCCCGAAATCCCCCATTTGGGGATGTACACGAAGTGGCGATTATGCCCAAAAAGTACTTTATAACATGCCATAAAGCTGTGCAGAGTTCAGTTTTTCTAGTATGGGCTGTTAAAAAATTGACAGGGGGTACCCAGACTTTTTATTAACCCTGTATATATGTATATATAACCTATTCATATATATATACATATATATATATATATATATACACATATGAATTCGAACGGAGGGTGTTTTTGGCCTCTGGGGACCTCAAAACGAAAAGTAAATCTGCCCAGGTCTTACCATGAGTTCTACTGTAATAGCTTATTCCCTATGCAGGAAATTCGCTAAAACTGATCGGGATGAAATGAATTTGGTATCAATTGAAGTATGCAGTAAGACTATTTGTTTTTCAAAAGAAAACAATAGTTAGTTATGTCTCAAAATTTTATATGACTCAAAATTAAATTTTAAATTCATATTTTTCTCTATTTGAACGAATCACCGTACATGTACTAACTTTCCTTTAAGTAAGAACTACTTAAACAACACTTTAGATTAAAAAAATTTAAAATGCATTTCTTACAATTAATGTTTAATTTCCTCGTTAACATAACAGCTTTATCAAAACGTGAATGCAAGATGTTTAATCGCAAAATAACTTACGCCAGCTTTTGCTCCGTACAGCTATTATTACTCTTGCGGGGACAATAATGCTGTGTTTACTTTGCCCTTATACCTTACTGCTCTTTCTAACAACTCTGTTTAAGTTTTATCATTGGATTGCTAGCTGTCGAAGTTTTTATTATCCAGATGGAACGTAGATGGGGTTTTTATTGACTTATTGGGATTAATGCGGCAGTTTAAATAGTGAGCGGAAAACGGGGTGAATGTCGTTGTAAGACGAAAAGTAATGGTTAAATACAAATCAATTACAGTTTCTATATGTTAAAGAAAGATTTTGAAAGAATAATACATACCGGGAATATTAATACATAGCTACAAATTTTATAACTAGGGTTTTAATGATAAAATGTAATTAAACTATCATAAAATTATTTTAATATATAGTTAAATTAATTGCACTAATTCTATTCTTTTACTGTATCCTCAATATTCTGGAAATATGCTATTTCGTATTTATAAATGTTTTATTGTAGCCTATGTTATAGAACTCATTATAAAATCAAATGAAACTATGATATTGTACAATTATTTATCGAAATAAATCAAAATAATATTTTCGATAAAATTAATGATTGAACTTCGTGCGTGTCCACTAGTTTCTTTATCATGAGTGTTAGTTTTTGACGTAAAACAGTAAAAAAAAAGAAAAAAACCCCTAAAACATTTACCTACTTACAAAAATCCAGGACATTTACGCACATTACTGTAATGACTTAAGAAATAAATCTACAAACGTGTCTAGAAAGTTGTATACAACTTTTTTTGGGTTGTGTTATATTATTTACCCAATTCGTTGCAGCTTGGCTATTATTGTTTGTGAAGTTACTATTATTACCAATACAGTTTACATAAAAAAAAACTAGTTAGAAACCATTGTAGTACATCCACTAGTTGCACTTGTGGCACAACACGACTTTGTAGATAGGCAAATAATAATTATTCATTTGAACAAGTTAAAGATAAGTGTAAGATGTTAAATAATTTACATAATTACACCAAGTTGGTTTCACCTTTATATTTTAACGATTCATTATCCCCCAGTATTCCACGCAGCAGGTATTGGGACAGACTTTACTGAAGTTGAGCACGGCACGTGGCATGTTGTGGTAACCTTATGCGTTTGATGTCCTGCGAAACTGAGTTAACTCCCAGCTCTAACCTCATTTCCGAATCCCTTTCCCTGTTTGAAATATCAAATGGGCATTATTCAAACACCTAAAACATAAACTTCAAAATAAATTCCTAATCTCCTACAGGTAGTGGTTATAGTAATGCAAAAAATTAATCAACAATATTTTTACTGTAGTATAAATATTGTACGTTGAGTTTTTGATAGATTGTACGTAATTTTTGCCGAAAGTCCATGCATCATCTGTATAAAATTTTCACAAAAGTATTGAATAAAACTTGTGATTGTCAATGGTTAATGGTTCTGTTGTGATAAACCAAAATTACTTTCTCAAGTAATGTTATTTTTGGAATTGTTCACTTTCACAACAATAATTTTAAAATTGATAGAATGATGGATAGATATAAAAATACAGTGAAAATATTTTTTTCATCGCTATAACTCGTTGTATCATTAGCTATGTATTTATAAGAAGATTTATTTATAAATCATTTGTTAATAGTATGTTACTCATTTTGTACCGTTAGGTGAATTTAATTATGTGGTGTGTTAATCGATTTTCACTCATTTGACTGCCCATAGTTTTAACGGATCACACAATCCTTAAACATTTTTCGAATGAACGTGAAATAAGGCTGTACAAAGAAAGGTAAAGAAATACAGTATTTGCACCCTAATGTTATAATATATGAATAAGAAGAGTTTTACGTTGGTAAAGCCTATATAACTGCAATAAAACGTTTACACGACTGTTACCAGGTTGATAAAGTAAGTTGGCAGCATTGTGAGATTTAGAGTTGTTATAAATGTTCCCGCGTGATTTGTGTTACATGGGGTTTGAATATCGTTAAATACAACTGCTGTTTTATTTAATATGTTACTGTTATCAATTTCATGCTTCTCTTTGAAACATATAAGGATTAACACATAGAACTTAGTTAATTTAACGTTCCTGCTGGTTTATTTTCATAAGATTTTAATTAAGTGTTTTTCGTAATTATGAGTTATTAAGGGTAGTTTGAGAAGATACACGTATCACTTCTAACCGGTTTTTATGTGTATATAAACATTTCACATTATTCCTAGTTATTTCAAAAAAGATTTGTTGTTTTTACAAAATATCTAGAGCTTAAATACAAATAATTGACATGCATTTTAATTAATCATAATACATAGTACAGTGGTTAATTTAAACAAATCAAAAGATTTTTCTCTTCAAATTTATAAGTCTCAGCAACCTAATAAAACATTTACTTGTCAGTGAGGAAGACTGCGATGTTAGAGGGAGAAATGAAGGAACATTGAATCCAATTTCCTTCCTTATAAAGCAATAGCAAAGTGACTTCCTGCATTTAAAACGATACTTTCTCGTTACTCAAGACTTTTAACAGCTTTTAACATCACAACAAGCTTTTAGTATAACTTAATATTGTATAATAAATAATTTGAACGTATAGATTTACTAGCGAACATTAAATTGGCTTTATAAGTCTAAAATTGTAAATACTTTTACAGGTTAAGTACTACAGATGTCAACAGTATTTTCATAGGAAAACTAAATTATTTTCTCGTACTAGACACATTATAGGTAGCTTCTAGGAAATACTTGAGATGTAAAACCATTGTTTTCAATACAATTTACACATTTGCAAAAGTTGTTTTGAAGGAAGATAATTTAATGATATCTCTTTATCATATAGTGGCCATTTTGTATGTTCATTTTACTAGTTTCTTATGTTTCTTTTAACTCTATTTAAACAGCGAACAATAAAATCGTCTTGAAAAGGCTTTGTTTAGAAAATTGGAAACATGTTATTGCTTACACCTTGGTCGTTCGTTTATTAAATAACCATATTCACCAGCAAACTGTTATAAAACAGAAGAAAAGTTATTACAACGGTAAGGATGTTACAATCTTGCTGATATATCCTTGCTAAAGGAATGACGATAAACTAAATCTGAAATGAATTTCAAATTATATCTATCATGTTTACTGAGGGAATTGAAAGAGTGTGTCTGTAATGAAATGAGATTAGATCCAACAAGGGTTGGATTACGCTTTATTGCAGCCAACCCCTTGAGACAGTCTTGGAAGAGATAAAGACATTTTCTTATATTCATAGTTTTGTACAGTTTTCTTCTTCCTATCTCTACAAAAATATACTACTCTTTATACAAATGTGAATAATATTAGTTGTGGAGTTCTTCTATAACCTAATTAATTTATGAATGATCCTTTAGTATTTTAGTGAAGATATATATATAACTTTTCCAAAATAAATGAAAGTACAAATACTTATGTGAAAAAGGTTGCTTTGTACTTTGC